ATGACTAGAGGAGTGGAAAGGAGTCAAGTTACAATTCAGAAATTTGGAGGGATGGTGCTTGGTGTGGAGGAAACATTCTCTGTGGCCTCTACTTTTTTTTGGTAATGTCATTATAGCTGGTAATTTTAGCCTGAGAAAGCTCCTTTTTGTCAAGTTTTAAAAGGTGGGATGTGGGAAGGCAAGTTGAAAGGATGTGGGTTAGGCATCCCAGAGTTCCATCCTTTTGCTTTCTGGTCTGGAAGGTTATTCTGGAAAACATTCTCTTAGCTAGTCATCCTCCTGATTTGTTAGGGTAAGGTGATCAGAGGGTTAACAGCTTGAGTTAAGGAGCAAATGAATAGCTAATCCAAGATTCCCTCTTTAAGAAAAGCTTGCTTTTTAATTTTTCCACCTTATGAGACACAAGAAAGCTGCTGCAGAGTGAGATACACCTCTAAGCCAGAGCTCAGAAGGACCTCTTCACTGGCTACCTTTCCTGACACTAGTGTGTTCAGGAATTTGAACTGAGTCCAGAAAGGGAGTGGTACTGACACTGGATGGGGCAAGGAACTAAGTTTCAAAACACTCTTCCTGTGGAACATATGGGAATTCATTGATGGGAAAGGGAGGAAAATACATCTAATAATAGAGAATACGTAATCATGTCTGCTAGATCTTGAATGCATCTCAGCTAAGACAGTTTCCATCCTGCGAGACTCTGGCTTCCTCCAGGGGTGGTCAACCCTGGTCTTAGTGTCATAGTTAGTTCAGTGTCTCTTCACTGTGCCTCTGCTTCCTTTTTTCATTGAAATGCAGGCTGAGGCTGAGGTGGCCTCCTTGAACCGTAGGATCCAGCTGGTTGAAGAGGAGCTGGACCGCGCTCAAGAGCGCCTGGCCACTGCCCTGCAAAAGCTGGAGGAAGCCGAGAAAGCTGCTGATGAGAGTGAGAGGTGTGTAGAGGGGCCTGATGAAGCGTGGATTTCAAAAGATGTCATAATGGATGGCTCTGATCAAGATTTCCTTATAAACCTGTTTTTTAAAACAGTAACCTGTCTCTATAGGGTCTTCTTTTCTTCTGTTCTACATGTTCTCTCCACATGAAGACAGAGTAGGGGTTACCTGGACTCGTGACCCTTTTGTAATTTGTGTTTCTCTATAAATTGACCTAATGATCCTTAAATGGGGTCACCAGGACAGCCTTCACTGAGTGAATTGTAAGCCTCCGAAAGTAGTGGTTCTTCAGGTAAGGTCCCAGTCCAGCAGCACCTGGGAACTTGGTAGAAATTCAAATCCTCAGCAGCTCCTATGCCTGATCTATGAATCAGAGACCCTGGAAGTGGAGCCCAGCAATCAGTGGTTTAATAAGCTCTCTCACCCCTGGCAGCATGGTGAGAATCACGGGAGTGAATGATGGGGATCGTTGGGGAGTCTAAAAAAATATATCAGAATGTCTAGATCCCACCCCAGATCCATTGTGAAAGGGGCCTGGGCATTGGTGTCTTTAAAGCTTCTCCAATAATTTTAATGTGTGCCTAAGGCTGAGAACCACAGTCCTCGGACAACACATCTTTGTTGAAAATAGCCAATTGGCTGGCTCCTTGCCACCTGTGAGTTAAAGGAGAATACAGGTGTGGAATGACTTGCATAGGGTCAAGCTAAGGCTTTTCAGAATTAGAAATTCCCTGTTGGGAGTGCATTAATGCAGTGCATCTGTGAAAATGAGTAAGACAGCTATGTGTGTACTATTACAGAATAGTGTCCAAATTATAGAAAGTGAGGAAAACAAGTTGCAGAGCAGTGTAGTATGATTCCTTGGGGGTGTGAGGAAGTGAAGATGCGATTTTTGGCATTTTATCTGTATAAAACATTTCTGGAAGGATTATGATGTAAGAGATTACCTCTGATGAATAGGACTAGAATTGGGGAGACTTACTTTTGCTTTATGCCCTTAGACTATACACTTAAATAGTTCATTTCTTAATAAGCGTGTATTTCTTTTATAAGAAAAAGCTTTAAATAAAATAATTAAACTAAGGTGGGGGGTGCTGTGGGAATTCTTTTTGAGTGGCAAGCAGAGAGGAATGGGCTTTAAAAGGTGCAATCCGGGTCCCTTGGAACTGAGCTGATGACAGGCTCCCCAGGATGTCAGTGCCCCATTTGTCCGTATTGTTTCTGACAGAGGTATGAAGGTTATTGAAAACCGAGCCTTAAAAGATGAAGAAAAAATGGAACTCCAGGAAATCCAGCTCAAAGAAGCTAAGCACATTGCAGAAGAGGCAGATAGGAAGTATGAAGAGGTAAGGCACTTTTAGTTTGTCTGTCTCTCTCTTTCCAGTGGCGTGGGGCTTCTGAAAAGAATCATGAGAGGGAGAGGGCTCTTTCTCAGCCTCTCTGAGCTGTACCTGGGTCTTCTCCCATAGGTGGCTCGTAAGCTGGTGATTATTGAGGGAGACTTGGAACGCACAGAGGAACGAGCTGAGCTGGCAGAGTCGTGAGTATCTTGCTCCCCAAATCTTGCTGTACCATTCTGTTCCTTCCCCTTTGGCTTGGGCACTAATGTGAATAAACTAGCATTCCTTCAACCTTGTTAAACAGGGCCTAGAGAGTGGAAGGCATCCAGAATGCTTTTGTTTAGTCCCTAAGAATGGCTTTGGGTTTTACTCTCTTGACCAGTGACAGGTGACAAATTGGAGCTTCCTGATTTCTTGTAGGGAAGGTTTACAAATTAAGGGGAAAAAGGAAGCCTATAAAGTGGTGAACTGTTAATTGGCAGACCCTTCTGGGTCCTTCCATCTGAAGGTTCTGCTTCTCCTGGAGGCATTGAAATGGCTGTCCTGACTTAAGCTCTGCCTCTGTTTTTACCACTTTGCCAATCTGCTGGGGAACTTTAGGGCAAAGGCAGACGTGACGCCCTCCCCTGCTGGCACCTTCTGGGCCTTGTGTAACAGAGTCAGTGCTGATGCATATTTATTTGTGCTTCCCTTGCATTCCCCTCTCCTAGACATGACATATCATGGCCATGGTGATGTTTTCTTCCCATTGTTTGATTTTTTTTTTCCCCCGTTTTGCTGCTTGTTTCCCTGCTGTGTTCCTTTTTGACCTTTCTCCCTCCCCACAACCTGGCTTGTGCGATCCTTGTGACTATCACTAACAGCCGTTGCCGAGAGATGGATGAGCAGATCAGACTGATGGACCAGAACCTGAAGTGTCTGAGTGCTGCTGAAGAAAAGGTACTAACCATTAAACCCACAGAGAGGTTATGTGTATGGTGTGGTTTTGTTTGGTTTTGTTTTGTTTTGCAGCTGCCTCCCCTCCACTGGTTGATTTGTTGAGTGCTCTCTCATCTCTTCATGGAATGCTCCATTCTTCTCCACTTACCTGGCATCTTTCATCTCCTTTTTCCTAGTTGCTTCACTGCCTCTTCACAGGGCCTCTTCTTCCCTTGGGTGATTTGGGGGCCTATTTGGGTTGGGCATCTGTTCCTACCTCTACCCCAGGTAGCAGTTATGATTTGTTCCCTGTAATGATTTCCCTCAAGTGTTTTCTTTATTAGTATCCAAACATTCTGAGGCCTAGCCCAGGAGGTCCAACTCCTGACTTGGTCTGTGGTAGCGGGAGGAGGGTTGACGCTTGCTCAGATGCGCCGGGAACCTCTCTCTCCCCCAGTATGCCTTCCAACTCTCTCCACAGATAGGTTCAATTCATGTCTGTGTGTCTCTCTCCCTTTTTTTTTATTCTCTTCTTCCCCTTTCCTCTCCTGCGATATTTAAAATATTCACAGTAAGTGTTCTGAGCTGGAGGAGGAGCTGAAGAATGTCACCAACAACCTCAAGTCTCTTGAGGCTCAGGCGGAGAAGGTAGGGGCTGGTTTGTAAAAGTGACAGGCTTTGGGGCCTGGGCCCAGCCCTGCCCTTGATGAAAGACTGGAGCAGTCCATTCCTTATGTAATCCAGTGAGAAGTATCCACCTATCCTCTCTCCAGATTATGGGTTTAGTGCTAATTCCTGCGCACTTTGATTGCGGTCTCAGGTGCCTGGGGTCATGTTCTCCTCAGGCTGATAAGACTATGCTGACAGATGGGGGCAACAAGTAGTACCAGATCTGAGACCTAATGAGCAATTGAGACAGATGACTTGTCTTTATCATCTTGTGAGACTGTTTCAGCCATGTGGCCTCGGGGTGTCACAACACCTGCTCGTTAACCAGGAGGCAGGAAAAATACCTCCCTGGGTTGATTTGAATAAGATCAAAGCTTAGGTCCATTTACAAAAGTAAAGGAGGACTCTTAATATGAGGGTATCGTGGTGCCAAGGACACTGATTTGTGGATTTTTAAGGACTGTTGTCCTGAAATGGGCCTTGCTGTTTCTCATGGATCATTCAGCACATTAAATCCAAGAGGACATTCAATGTCAGAGTAAATATAGGGAGGGGGGCATTCTCCATGTGAGTCATTTCTATCCTGAAATGTGTATTCTACTTCTCTTACAGTACTCTCAAAAAGAAGATAAATATGAGGAAGAGATAAAGATTCTTACTGATAAACTCAAGGAGGTAAGCTGAGGGGATTTGAGGAAGGACCCACAACATTTAGAAGTTTATAAGGCATTAATGTAGACTTAGACTGGCTGGCTGTGGTTCTGCAAGGTGTAGAAGTAGAAGGTGAAAGAAATAAAGATGCTTCTCTAATTGTCTTACTCATCTCAGATTCTGACTGGTTTCATATTTCCCCTAGGCAGAGACCCGTGCTGAGTTTGCTGAGAGATCAGTAGCCAAGCTGGAAAAGACAATTGATGATTTGGAAGGTACGGAGCCTGGGAGAGGGATTGAAATAAATATAGAGGAAGACCTTGCCCATTGACCGTTATCCTCTTTCCCTGTATACCAAAGGGAGTTGGTAGAGCTTTGGCATGCATCCTATGCCCTGTCCTGTGCCACAGCTGGGTGAAGTGGGTCAAACCCTGGAACTGGATTTTTACGTTTAATCCTTTCCCTTAATAATAAGACTTTACCTAACATTCTGGAATTTGCATCCTTCCCTTGGAGGAGACTGATAATGGCACACACCTCCAGTTTTGTAGTCTTAACTCTTTAGTATCTGGGTTGAAATGGTAGCCATATTTTCAGAAGGCAACAAGAATGTGTCTTGTGTCATCCTATGGCTACTTTTGGCAATCCTATTCACCGCTCAAATTGTGGGGGACCTCACCAAGAGACACAGCTGTGGAATAACCATTTCTCAGAGCTGACCAATGCCAGGGGCTTTCTGGATACTTCTGGTCCCCACAGTTTGGCAGCTGCATCCACCTGATCCAAGGAGAATGTACTTTGCTCTGAGAACTCTGAGATATGCTCCTTTGGTAGGCTCTGGGTAGCAGGATGTTCTTTCTTTGGGGAAGTTTGGGGAGGCAACTTGTAGAGCAATGGGGCCAAGAATATTGGTCACGCTTGGTAGGTGGACAAGTGTCTGAATGTTGTATATTTTCTCCTTTTTCTATTTTTGTTAAATTCAGTGTGATCACTGCTAGGAATTGGGTTAACTGGGTGGGAGTGGTATCCTCTTAAGTGCCTTTGGTAATAGGAATTTCTAGTCATGACTGTGCCCAGGTTCTCAACCAGGCTGCAATTGATGAGAGATGTCAGGAAGTCCAACTGGTCCTGGGGATAGTGGATCTGAAAATGGCCAGTCATGGCTGTCAGGATAGATGTTCTCCTAACTGTGGGATTAGACCCATGGTCACACTTTCCCTAATTTCTAATGATTCCCTCTCTTCATCTGCTTCTGATATCTTTCACTCTGTCCCCTCGTTCCTCCCTGTGGTTCCTGTGCCTGTCCAGATGAGCTCTATGCCCAGAAACTGAAGTACAAGGCCATTAGCGAGGAGCTGGACCACGCCCTCAATGACATGACCTCTATGTAACTATCTTGACAGCAGAGTGGGGCTGGGACCTTGGCTTGTGGGTGGGTGGGGGTACAGGCTGTGCACAGAGTGCTTTGGTTTTGTCTTCTGGAAACTAGATTCTCCACTCTTATCTTTAAAACATTGGTGCTGGTTACTTGTTGGCAAAAGCTGGGGAAGCATTTAATCCTGGATCAGTGGTAGAGTACTGATCTATGTAATTCTTACACTTTTTATTCATAATCCCTTCATTATGACACCAGTATTTTTCTATTTGTTTCCTAAATTTGGTCTTCTCAAAAGGGACACTGCTGAAGGTAGAATCATGTCATCATACAGTTAAGGAACTAGGGCCCAGAGAGCCAGTGACTTGGGCCCTTACATTACACAACAAAATTCAGACCTCCTGGGTGTGTATGATTTGTGCCCTGATATTAAAGTTCAGGGGAAACACCCATGATTGGAAGTACCAAATTCACCTAAAAATCGAGCTGAATCCCAGAACAAGCCAGGTAGTAAAAAGCACCAAAAAGAGTTGTTGGGGACTTCATCTGTTTGCTGTGAATCCCTGATCCTTGATGCTAATCTGCCTCTTTCCCACTAACCCTGAAAACAAGCCAAGGGACCCAGGCTGTAGTGTCTGGCTCTCTTTTCTCATTCCTACTGCTACCTCTTCCTTCTTCTCATCCTTTCCCGAACTGCTATCCAGGTTGATGCTAGTCCTTCTCACCTAGAGTCTCCTTACTTTTTCATACAGATAACTATCACCGTTTCTGCTCTGTTCTGGATCTGCCCCCTTTCCTCGGGGAACCCAACTCCCCACTCTCGCTCTGGATTCCATTTGGGTCAGCCTGGCTGGTCCCCAAGGCATTAGGATGAGCGGGGGGCCACAAAGCAACTTATGTATTCCCTTCTACCCCTCACCCCAAATTAAAATGTTAAGCTGCTGGAAGCCTCATGCCACCCTGCATTTGTGTCATTGACAAAGCTGCTGCTGTCCCTAAGAAGGAGCCTTGGGGGTATGGTGTGGGGAGCAACTATTGTAGGCTCTCCTTCCTCTGACTTACATAATCAAAGCCACTTTTGTGTGTGTCTATTTTTTTCTTGACATTTAAATTCAACTGATTGAGTCTATCAGAGTGGTGGACTAGCAGGGGTCTCTTGGAATAGGAGCTCGAGCCTTATACTAAAGCTGAATGAGATCATCGACCTTTACTACCAGGTTCTTAAATCATCCTGCCTGGAATGTTTCAGTCTTCTCTTCAAGTTCTCCTCCTTTGAGAGACTATTTAAATGTCTCCCAGTACATAATTGTCTACCTTTTACCAGAGTTTCAAATGGTGCATCCGCAGAGTACCCAGTGGACCCAAATATGTTACCACTAAAATTGAGTAATTATCCCAAGTCACAGAAAAATACATAATAGGTAAAATTTTCAACAGTTTAATGTTTTCTTTAAACCTTTCTTGCATATTTGAGGCTTACTACCATTTGCCTGCTAGTATGTGCTAGTGGGATGTAAGACAAGTGGTAAATGATTGTTATTGGAAAAACTAAAAACAACCCATCATGCATATTTCAAATAATGTGCACAGGGTAGTAATTTATTACATGCATAAATATGATCAATTGCTGCTAGTAAAATTGTTCCTAGTTTATATTATGGAGTTACATACTGACTTTTTGGAAATCCTATTCTAATTTATATACAGAGATGGAGACTATCATCTGGAGAGGATAGTCATCGGTTGTACTTATCTCAGCACCTAGCACCTAAGTGTTGATCACTTAGTACTTCAGTTTCTCATCAGGGTATATATTTAAAACTTGCCTTTCTTTTAAACAGATACAGCAAGGTAAAGAGATTTTCCCTAATTTAAAACTTTAGGTCTCATCAAATTCAGGTTTCTTTCTGTCCATACCGTTTCTTTTTGCCACACAACCTTTATGATTAAGGTAGATTGAGGTACAGGTTAAGTTATTATTAATTTAGGCTCAGGGTATTAAGGTGGAGACAGAAACAATCAAAGCTCGAGGCACCATCCCTACTCTCAGATTGCTCCAAATCTAGAAGAGAGAACGTATATTTAAAACTAAAGATAAAGTGTGATAAGTTCTCCAAATAATAAAGTGTTGTGGGAGTTCGGGGGAGGGGGAAGAGATTGATTGCATTGGAGATGATTAGAAAAGTCTCATGGAAGGAGGCACAAAATAGGTACTTTAAATAAACATGTTAAAATTTGCCTCTTCATTTTTATTGGGTTCCAAAAGATTGAAAATTACTTTTTTTCATGATAATTCAGTAGTAACGTCTCCTCATTTTATTTATTTATTTATTTATTTTTAGTTTTATTTTTTGTTTGTTTATTGAAAAATAGGGGTGGGTACAGCTCAGCAGTAGAGCAGACGCTTAGCATGCATGAGGTCCTGGGTTCAATCCACAGTACCTCCATTAAACGATTTTTTTTAATTACTGAAAAATAGTCAATTTACATGTTGTATTAGTTTCTGGTGTACAGCATAGTACTCAGATATATATATATATATTCCAAAAGATTAGACTTTTTTTAGTCTCTTTAAAAAATTTTTTTTTAAATGTATCTTTTTTTGGTGCGGGCGGGGAGATAATTAGGTTTATTTATTTATTTATTTATTTCTAGAGGAGGTACTGAGGATTGAACCCAGAACCTCGTGCAAACATTGGATTTTGACAAGCAGGGTCTGGTTGAGGAAAAGTAGATATTGAGCACTTTGGTCAAAGAGAAGCAAAAATAAAGGCGTCGAGAGGGACACAATAGGTACAAAGGTCCTTTAGATACAGTAGGAAACAGGTATGTGCTGTGATCTGGCTAGGGGGAGTTTTAATTTTATTCTATAGATAATGGGATGTCACTAGAGATTTTTAACAAGGATATGTCCTGGGTTGCATGTAAGAAGAGTTAATTTGGCAGCTAAGTTAAGAATATATTAGAAGAAGATGCAAACTGTTGGGTGTAAGATAGACTTAAGGATGTATTGTATAACAAGAAATATAGCCACTATTTTATAATAACTGTAAATGGAAAGTAATTTTTTCTTGTCGGGGGAGGTAATCAAATTTGTTTGTTTGTTTATTTGTTTATTTTAAATGGTGGTACTAGGGTTTGAACCCAGGACCTCATGCAAGCTAGGCACACACTCTACCATTAAGCTATACCTTCTCCCCGGAAAGTAATTTTTTAATTGTATAAAAATTTTAAAAATAAAAAAGAATATATTAGAAAGGGGGAGCAGGTTATCAAAATGATCCATTAAGATGATGATTACCAAAATTTCATTCATTTGCATACCACTTTTGATGGCTTTTGCCATAGTCACATACTGCCTATGTTACTATTTTTTAATTTACTCATTTTCCAATTTGTTTTATTCTGACTCTGGACAGTTCTAATTTGAATCAAAGATTTTGATGTGCTAGGGTTTCCTAATGCACATTCAAATAACATAGCTAATACTTTGGGGGGGGTTAGGTTTATTTATTTATTTATAGATAGATAAGATAATGGAGGTAGTGGGGATTGAACTCAGGACCTCGTACATGCTAAGCGCACTCTACCACTGAGCTACGCGCTCCTAAGCTAATACTTTTTTTAAAGTCCACAAATGTTTACCGAAATCTCGCATATCACTAGCAGTGACTATACCACATTTTGGGAAAAACTGGATTTGCAGTTTTCCCAGAGATAATAATCTGAACTAGAGTAGTGGTAGTAGGGGATGGCGCTGAACATGAGCATTTTGAATGGCCTGGCCACTGAATGCAAGGAGGAAACCAAGCCTAGGTAAATAGTGGTTGTAAAAGTTTTGGGAGACCACGTGGTCCTGGTTTGGGGAGGCAAGGGAAAGCAGAGAAGTATATAAGTCTGAAAAACTGGCAGGTATCCAGATGAAAACCAAATCCTAGGACTTGAGAGGGAGAGATTGATGTAAGAGAGATTTGGGAGTCCATGAGGGTGACAAGCAGTTTAGGCCATGGAAATAAAATCAAACCCTAAAAGATAATTACAAATGTAAAAAGAAAAACTGAGTAAAGAGGAAAATCTGTGTAGAAGAGGAAGCCCAGTGGAACTGGTTGGAGGCATAAAGGGAGAAGGAGTAGCTTTGTAAAACTGCTACTGTAAAAACTTCAGTGCTGGATGGTTTCCAGTGATTCTCAACTTCAACAGGTAGAGAAGGAAGATAACTGAAGATAGGATGTTATCACTGATGTTTTATTAATTTGAGGGTAAATTTTGAGCATTAAGGACAAGGAGAGGAACAGAAGAGCGAATTGGTGGAAAGAAAATAAGGGCATGAAGTACACCCTAGACTAATGGTGTCCAACAGAATTTTTGGCAAGAAATTCCAATATGGTAGCCGCTAGCCACATGTGACTGTTGAACACTCAATGTGGCTAATGTGACCGAGGAGCTAAATTCTAACTTTATTTGCTTTTTGTTCATCTAAATTTAATTAGCCAATTGTGGCTAGTGGCTACTGCACTAAGTATTACAACTGTAGATGTTTTAGTATTTAGGCAGAAGGAGTTGACTTTGGCACAGAGGAAGGTTCCTTACAAAGGAAAGAAGTAAGAGAGAGTGAAGAGAGATTAGAAGAAAAGCGAGGTGTAATATTTTGTAGCTCCTGTCTTTCCCGATGGGCATGTCTGGTGTAAGCAAGGATAGAGACCAACAAGCTAGGAAGCAGAGGGAAATTTGAAATACTGTGCCACAATAAATTCACTCTTTTGGGGCAGGGTAATGCCTCAGTGGTAGAGTGTGCTTAACATGCATGAGGTCCTGGGTTTAATCCCTAGTATCTCCATTAAAAAAATAAAATAAATTCACTATTTTGTTTAATGTTCTGTATCCTCATAGAAGCTATCCTGTTACTTGTGCCTGGGCTAGCTAAGGGAATGGGATCAAGCATCATTGGCAATCTCAAAGCAAAATGCTTGACCTCTTTATTTTATCGCCTCATCTTAATTTCTTAGAAAGAGTTGCAGGTTGATGTGTTGGAGTCCATTCTTCCTTTCTTCATTACCATTGTTAGGATGAGGAAAAAAACAAAACGTGGCTGGACCCCAACTTACCTAATGAATGGGTGGCACTAACTGTCCTGTTAATGTTGGGCAACCTTGTCGTAGCCCCACCCAATGTCTTGCGTTCATGTAGTATTGGTTGAATACTCCCCAGCCTTAATATTAGGGAAATTAAAAAAAAAAATGTTCTACCTCATTCCTTGAACTTTGTGGCTTTAAAGCTGGTATAGTTCCCTTTGCTCCAAGTACACCCTCCCTTTTCCTGTTACAGAATGAAATTGACCTGATTCAGACCAAGGAACCCTAAGGATGTATAGCATCCATGGGATTGTTCCCTAAAAGGAACATCAGACCAAATGGATTCTCTGGCTTGCTTTTTTTGTTTTGTTTTGTTTGCTGTTATCAGGGAATCAAGAACTTCAGTGAACTATTATCTGATCTTGAATTTTCGATCATTAGAGATATCAGAGTTAGAAACCTTTTTCTTATTACTAAATTCAAAGTGAGAGAACAACTGCGTTTACCTTTCTGACTTCATGCAATTCTTAAGGAACCATATGTTCCAGGGTATAATCAGGCAATAAAATGCTCCCACTTCTTCTCTATCTCTTTATTTCTTCCCTAAGTGGAATAAAAACCTCATTGACCAGGCTGTTTTGAGGGATAAGATCCTGATAACACCCAAGACAGAAGTGGGAACCACACTAACTTAGGTATAGATGCTATGGAAGAGTCAGGGTGCATGTGGACTCTATATGTGATACACTCCCAAAAGTTTAAGTAACAAGAGTTAACACAATTTGAACTCCTACTATTTGTCAGGGGTACCCCAGTGAATAAGACAGGTCCAATCCCAGGCCTCATGGACTAGTACAGACTAGTATAGTGTTTCTCAATGGTGGACTTTTGTCCTTTAGGCCAGGATAATTCTGGGATGTACCGAACAGTCCTATTTACTGCTGTCCCTTGTCCAGTAAATATCTGTAGGGCCCTCTAGTTACCGTGACAGTTAAAACTTGCCCCCCTCCCCAAATTCCCCTCTATAAGGAGGGGCGGGGCACTATTCCTGGTATTGAGAACCATTTGTTTAGTGGGAAGTGCAGTTTTAAAAATTTGCTCCAGTTCTTCTCCTTAATACACCTATTACGTTTGGTTATTCCTCTCCTGGGATCTTCCTCAACCTAGAAGGCATGGTGCCTGAGCATTGCCCACAGTCAGCCCACAGATGCAGTTGATTTTAAGGCAGGAAAGTCTTTTTCTTATTGAGGTCCCAAGACCATTTGGAACAGACCGTAAAACATAGAAAGAAACTTGTTTATGAACACCAGAGGCTGACATTAGGAATAGACCAGGAAGATCAAATTTCCACACCGCTGTGTTGGTCAGATGGATTTAGATTCTCTGTACCCACTTTTTTTTTTTAATTTAAAAAAGTTTTCTTTCCTTGTGATAAGAACTCTTAGGATTGACTCCCTTAACTTCCATATATAACATACAGCAGTGTTAATTATACTTATGTTGTACAGTACATCCCTAGTACTTCTTTATAACTGGAAGTTTGTACCGTTTGACCACCTTCATCCAATCCTCCCTCCCCCACCCCCCACCTCTGTAACTACAAATTCTATGAGTTTGTTTGTTTTTTGAAATATAATTGACCCACAACACTATGTTCCTGGTGCACAATATAGTGATTCAGTATTTCTGTACATTACAAAACGATCACCAGTCTCTACCTGCTCTTTAAGATGTACTTTAAGTAGAAAATCCAGATAAAGCCAGGGGGTCTGAGCACTTAAGTAGTTATATCAGGGATGTATTCAGTTATGAGAAACAGCTTAATAGGAGTTTAAATAAATATGTTATTTATTTTTCTCTCATAATAAAAAGTCTAGATTTGAGCAACTGTGGTTTGATATAGTTGGGGTTTCTGTGATTCTCCTGGACCTTTCTTTTAAGGCTGAAATTTGCAACTCTAGTCATCACATCCATGTTCAAGGCAGGAAGGAAAGCTAGTTTTCCCAGAACCTCCAACACACTACCCTCTACATGTCACTGGCCAGAATTTAATCACATGGTCACCCCTAGCTGCCAGGGAGGCTGGAAAAACAGGATAATCTTGATTGGCTTGTACCAGTAATTCACCTTCCTGGGACTGGCCAGACACACTAATGGCTCTAACAGGTTTTAGCTTCTTTTGGAAAATGTGAAGTTGGATTTTGACTGACTAGGCCATTATGATGGGTCTATCACTCACCCAACACCTAGAACAAGAAGCATCAGAAAGCGTAGGATTGAGTGGATGTGTTTATCCCAGTCTCCCATTCGTAATGCTCTATTGAACGCTTTTGCAGAAAAATGTTCAACCATTCACTTTGATTCCTTACAAACCTTGATTATTGTAAATGTATTTCTGATAAGCCAACTGTATTCCTTCCTTTGTCCTGTTTCACTTGTCTCAGTTTTTCAATCCAGGGAATAAACACTGTGAAGGAGATATTTTTCTCCCTCAAAAGGTCATCCTATCAGCTTATCAGTCTGAATTTATTTTATTCCTCAGTTGGTCTTTTCCGCCAACTGACTGACTCTTACTGCCCTCTGTCTGAATCCTCCTTGCAGCCATCCGGCCTTACAGATGCATGTTATATATACCAGGTAGTTGAAAGTCTCAAAATTTACTTCTGGTACTCTACTAACCTTCCCTTTTTCTCTTTCTCCTCCTCTCCTTCCTTTCCTCCTCTTGTTTTCTCTCCTCCTTTGCTGCTGCAGAGCGTCTCTACAGCCAACTTGAGCGAAACCGCCTGCTTTCTAATGAGCTGAAGCTAACGCTGCATGATCTGTGTGACTGATGGGCAGGGCTCACTGATGCCCATTAAACCCAGCTTACGGCTCACGCCGCTGACCTGGACCCCAGCAAAAAGCTGATTGTCTTTTTAAAAGTTACTATTTGGCCCTAAGCAAATTGCTTTTTAATTGGGGCAGTTAGAATAGTGTTGACTTCCTAATTGCATTGTTAAGTGGGAACAGTTAATATTAATACTGCATTTCTCCCTTTTTAAGAGATTATGGGTGATGAAGGGAGGGGCCTGAGAGATTATAGTGTGAAAGCCTGGGAGAGTTTTCTGTTTTCCACCCTTATTTGCTGCTCTTTCACTTGTGCACTGACTGTAGGATATGTTCCCTTGCATGGATGTTTTCTAACAATAAAAGGACTGACTTGACAAGATGTTGTAACTGCTTCATCTGCAGGCCCAGGGATGGGTCGTTCTGACTGGGTAGAAACAAGGGAAGGGAAAGAAAACGGTGTGGGATATGAATAGGTCTGTGTTGCCCTCCCCATCTGTGAGTTGAAGAGTATTTTCCCCACCTCCCCCAGAGCAGTGAGTGGTTTGCTTGCTGGGCAGATTAACTTCTCCTTGATGTTCAGCTGCTGGTTTTCTTCCTGACATTTCCCCCACCTTGCTTCTCTTTCCTGGGTTTATGTTTAATTCTAAGTAACTGTGTTACAGGCAAGTTCTGACGAATAGCTCTGCAGAAATCTCACTTAAAAGGTTTTGCTTACAGGTATATGTTTTGTAGTATTCTTGGCTTTGTTTTCTTTCGAGAGTCTTTGACTTAGACATGGGGGTTCTTTTATTTACCCCACTAGTTACTCTTTACCTTTCTACTTTGGGGGGAAGGCCTGTAGTGCATGGAGGATCCTCCTGTACTCTTTTCAAGTTGAGATTCTGATGTTTCTTTCTACTGGTGGAAATAAGCCCATCCTGTTCTCAGTGTGTCAAACTCCAGTGAGCCATTTCAAGTAGGTGTTATCCTGTGGGCAAAGACTAGAAAGAATGGATGGCTGATGTTTAAGGCCACCTCCTTAAGTGGCCAAAAGCTGAAAGCCTCGGCTGGGTGTGGGAAGGAGAGGAAATGACTGATAAGGTCCCCCACTCCCTCCCCTAGAAGTACAGCAACACCTGCAACTTCGGTAGCAAGCCCGAGGTCCTGCAAAAGCGAGTGATGAAACAGCTCACTTCTGTGGCTGAGAAGGCAGCTATTCTATCAGTCTGCAGGTTCCCTGCAAACGGAGCTATTCTCAGAGTGGGTAGACCTTGAAATTTGCTTCTAGTTTTTATAACGTCTCTCCTTTACCCCCATTAGATAAGCTGAAATGCACCAAAGAGGAGCACCTCTGTACACAAAGGATGCTGGACCAGACTCTGCTTGACCTGAATGAGATGTAGAGCACCCCAGTCCCGCCCTGCTGCTGCTCCTCCCTCTGACCCTGACTCCGCCTGAGGCCAGCCTGCCCGAAGCTGACCTTTAAACTGAGGGCTGATCTTTAACTGGAAGGCTGCTTTCTCCTTTCGCCACCTTTCCCACCCCTACCCCTGTGTCCTTTTCACCAAACTGTCTCTGCCTCTCCCCAGAGATTCCAGTTGGGCTAGAGGCTGAGCACCTTTGGGAACAACATTTAAGGGAATGTGAGCACAATGTAAAGTGTCTTTAAAAGCATGTTGTGATGTACACATTTTGTAATTACCTTTTTTGTTGTTGTTGATATAGTAACCGTTTGTAAAACATTCCAGATAATTCCCCGTTCTGAAGCAGCAGTCTAATCCCTTTCTCACTTTTGAAAGGTAACATCTCAGCTTAATGCATCTTGCCCTCTCCATAGAGGAGGGAAAAAAGGTATGGGCTTGCCTTACTGAGAGCTAAACAGCCCAGAGAAAGATTCCATTACAGGAAACCTCATTGCTCTGTAAAAAGTACCCACCAAACCAGAAAGGTGATTCCAGGAGGAGCTAGCCAGAAAAAAAAAAAAAAAGGGCTGTTCAGGTTTTCAGCTTTACGGTATCTTTGGGCAACTTTATTTTTATTTTTTTCATCAGAAGTGACCAAACAAGATAGTGAGACCTCTGTCTGAGACCAAATCCTTGTCCCATCTCTACCCTGTTCCCAGCTGCTCACAGGATCATCTGCCCCTTATGTTGAGGTGACCACTTACTTGCTATTCTGCCTCCTTGAAAGACAAAACAGAAAATCAGTTTTGCCACTAATTTAGCCATATGAAACATCTCATCACCCTTTCCTGGGTCTGAAGCTGCTGTCTCTAAAAGTGCCATCTCATTGTGCTTTGTATCAGTTAGTGCTGGAGAAATCTTGAATAGCGTATGTACAAAACTGTTTTTAAATTTTATATTATTTTGAAACTTTGCTTCTTTGGGGTTGGGGCACACCGGTCACCCTTTCTGGCTGTGAGAGCTCTCAACAGTCTGTGGACTGGCAGTGTGCTGATCTTTTAAAGTTTCTTTCCCTACCCAATCCCCCCTTTCTGGTGAGGTTTCAGTGAGGTCTGTTAGGTGTGCATCCTGCAGCTTAATTGGCTTAAAGTGTACTCTCCTTTGGTGTGGTCTCTTTGGGAGCCAATTGGAAGAAAGAGAAACCAATAGTGTAACTGTTTTGATACTGAAAATTGATAAGTGTCTTTTTGAAATAAAGAACCAGTCCCTCCAATGCTGAGACCTACTTGCTTTTGTTTCCTAATCCAAATGTGCTTTCTCCACAGGAACTATGAAGTTTGGGTAAAAATCGGGTCTTTGTGAGTAGTAACAGGATTTGATGTAGAGCACACACTTTGGAAGCCAACCAAAACTGGGATCAAAAACTGGGATCAGCTCTCAGAGGGGTGGGTATAGCTCAGTGGTAGAGTGCATGCCTAGCATGCATGAGGTCCTGTGTTCAATCCCCAGTAACTCCAATAAAAATAAATCTAACTACCCCCATCCTCCCCCAAAAAGCCTCAGCTCTCAGACCCCTGGCTGTATATTCTGATACAAATCATTTAGTTTCATTATCTGTAAAATAAAGATAATAAGGATTGTTAGAGTAAATATGAAGATTACTTAATTTAACAGTGGCGTCTTCGAGGTGAACTATGCATTTTCCTTTACACGTGTATTATTTCTTATAAACCATAGGTTTATTAGGCTCTGTGCTCCCTAAACAACTTCAACAATATATGACATTGATTACATATTATATGTGTGATTTTAGTAAACTGTCCTGAGACAGCCTTTGAACTGATACTCCGTTGGATATTTGGAGAAAACAAGTTAATTTAACAAGAAGTGCTCTTAGAGTATTTGCTTTCAGACAGGCTGTGAGTGGATAGCTTTCAAAGCTGCCTTTGAGACGCCAGTGCCTGGCATTTCCTGTACTCTGGCCTTGAAGCTGGACATGAATCTGACTTCCTAGCAAATATGACACAGCTTCCTTGACAAAGTCCAGCTGTTTATACTAGAGCCTGGAAAATTTTTTCCGTTTATATGCACGGACCAATGCTGACTGAAAATTACTGGAAAAAAAAGGGGGGTTGCTCTAGGAGCCAAAGACAAGGTAGGCGACAGAAAAAAATCAAACTGGGAGAAATTCTTTTGACTTTATGCTTGTCCTCTACTTAAAAAGATCTGCCACCCAATACTTCAGAAAGTAGCCCCTTAAGTGGGTTTGGGCCTTAAAATCTCCATAACGTTGGCTTAACTAGAGCGCGTCATAAAAACATCCCCATAATTCCGAGCCTGAAGGGGCGCCCGCCTCCTGCTGACGTCGTGCCTGCGGATTGGCTGGTGTTGGGGCTGAGGGCCCGGCTGTAGCTGAGCGGGAACAGAGAGCGGGCGGTCGCCATGACTGGCGCTGGATCGCCGGCGCCCCGACGCTTCGGGCTGTTCAGCTTACCTCTACAGCGCCTCCTGGTGCTGCTCCTGTTTTCTCTTGGGACCCCGGCCAACAAACTTAACGTGCCACAGGTGTTACTACCCTTCGGCCGGGAGCCAGGCCGGGTGCCCTTCCTGCTGGAGGCACAGCGGGGCTGCTACACTTGGTGAGGTGTGGGGAACACGAGGATATGTGCCCCCAGGCCACCCACTGAGGGTGGGAGGGGTTCACTCAGCGTAAGACGCCACAGGAATGCTGTGTGGTCACTCAGCCTGAAGGGCCTTGCCTGGGGGGTTGGGGTGGGGTGTCAGTGGGAGTGGAGTGGCCAACCCTCCCGGACGTCGCCTTTCCTTGTCTTGTGAGATATCTTCAGCTTATGTGTGGGGTCTTTATATGAGAAATTCTCAGGGTGTGAGACTGCCTTCTCATTGTGTGGGTTGAGGGGGTAGTCCCTGTGTGAAGGGCTATCAGGGCACAACCTTGTGGTGGAGGCCGCAGGCATTGGTGGCTCCCCAGTGTGAAGAACTTCCAGTGTAAACAACTAGAGTGAAAAGGAGTTCCCAAGGTCTGAGGAAATGTATTGAGGGGCCAGAGAGGCTTAGTGTGAGGGTTCTCCAGGAACTAAATAAGATGGGGTTTTCAGTGTAAAGACACAATTATTGCCTACTTAACTAAGCACGTTGCAGGTACTAATTCAATTCAGTCTTGTGAAGTAAGTACTATTACTCCCATTTTACAGATGAGGGAGCTGAGGCCCTGACACGATGAAGTATTAGCTTCTTGTAACATGAGAAGACTCATTTTGGGTGGAGATGAGACCTGCTTGTTATATATGTTTCCTCCCTTATATGAGAGTACCCCCTTGAAGTGCACACTCAACTTTGGGATAGTCAACTCTTAAGGGATGACTTTCTGACTGAGGATGAAAGACATCATTTTTTTGGTGTGAGAGGGCCCAGCCAAGGGGTTGTGTGGTTTCCTCAGGTCTGAGGGAACCTAACTGAAGTGGACTGCAAGGTATCATAGGGTTCATTCTAATTACCATCTTCTAAAGGGAAGCACTAAGGTTTGTTCAGAGTGTAAGAAGTTCACCTTCCATTTTATGAGGAAGTATAAGGGAATCAGGCTTATAGAATGACCCAGTGTGATGTATTTCCTGACTGAGAGGATGATGCAAGGCATCAACCTAGCAGTGAAAGGTATTCCTCCCATCCATCCAAAAAATAATAATGATTTTAAAAATTGTATTTTGAGTGAGATTCACACCTCATAATTCAGGCATCATCTCCACCTTACTTGCAACAGCCCAATTTCTAAGATTGGAGGAAATTCATTCCTCAGAGTGTGAGAAAGCCAAGTCTCTCATTGGAAACACATCAATCCTATTTTTACATACTGAGGGAAGAAAGAATGTAACAATCTTATTTTAAATACTGAGGGAGGAATGTAACTTTGCAGAGGGATCACTGGAAAATGTTCTAATCAGTCTCTCCCTCTTAAATCTTGTGTCTCTAAGCAATGTTTCTACTTTAAAGAGTGTCATTTAAATACACCTGGTAGTATGTAACATGGGAAAACTATAGGAGTCTGTGTTCCACCAAAAGTTAATTTTAACCCACATTCTTATTTCATGCTCTTAAATATTTTATTCTGGCAGGCATTCCACCCATCATGATGCAGTAACTGTTGAGCCTTTATATGAAAATGGCACCTTATGTTCCCAAAAAGCTGTGCTCATTGCTGAATCTACCCAACCAATACGCCTCAGCAGTATTATTCTTGCTCGAGAGATAGGTATGTTGAGAGAAAACACACTATGTTAACAGTTCATCTAGAGTGGAATAATCTGGTGTCTTTTATAGATGGTTAACACAAATGGTGTTGGTGTCAAATGATAAGGTAAAAAAGAGGATTCTTGCGATGTAAACCCTAATTGTGGCATCCTACTCTGTGACTTTTTCTTTTCTTTTTTGGTATATCCAACCCCTGGTATGGTTCCTGCTACAAAGAAGAAACTCTGGTTGTTTGAATTAATGGAGAAAGTAAGGAATTACTTAGCAAAACTAGCTTAGGTGTTAAGGTCTGAGGTTGGTCTTGAGTGAGGCAAAAGGCAGTATAAAAACTAGTATTTCTCAAAGTGTCTGTCAACCTGTATCATCTGCATCATCAACATCACCTGGGAGCTTGTTGAAAATGTAAATTCTCGGGCCCCACCTTAGATCTGCTGTATCAGAATCCCTGAGGTGGGCTCAGGGATCTGTGTTTTTAACAAGCTCTTTGGGCAATTCTCATACATACTAAAGTTTGGGAAGCATTGCACTAGTCTGTTTTAGACCAGAGCAGTTTAAGAAATGCTATTTGTATCCAGAATCAAAGCAGGGCTCTTTGTATCCCTGAGTTCCTGGCATTTAATTGTCATATTGATAGGCCAGAAATATTTATATGGCTTTTAAATATTTTGATAAATTATATATCTATACTATATTATTAAAGAGACATTCAAGATATTTGGTGTACCATATTTCTTATAATTGAAGATGCCATCTATTGTAAAACTTTTTTAATTGAGGTGTAGTCAATTTACAATATATCAATTTCCGGTGTACAGCATAATAGTTCAGTCATACATGTACATACATATATTTGTTTTCAAATACTTTTTCATTAGAGGTTACTACAGAATATTGAATATAGATGGTTCCTTGTGCTATACAGCTGAAACTTTTTTAATTTATTTTGTAGGTAGGAGTTAGTATCTGCAAATCTTGAGCTCCAAATGTACCCTTTCTCCCTCTGGTAACCATAAGTATGTTCTCTATGTCTGAGTCTGTTTCTGTTTTGCAAATAAGTTCATTTGTCTTTTTTTTTAGATTTCACCTATAAGTGATATCATATCATATTTTTCTTTCTCTTTCTGGCTTACTTCACTTAGTATGACAATCTCCAGGTCCATCCATGTTGCTGCAAATGGCATTATTTTATTATTTTTTATGGCTGAGTAGTAATCCATTGTATAAATATACCACAGCTTCTTTATCCAGTCATCTGTTGATGGACATTAGGTTGTTTCTCTGTCTTGGCTATTGTAAGTGGTGCTGCTGTGAACATTGGGGTGCATGTGTCTTTTTGAATTAAGGTTCCCTCTGGATATAAGCCCTGGAGTGGGATTGCTGGATCATATGGTAAGTCCATTTTTAGGTGTTTGAGGAATCTCCATACTGTTTTCCATAGTGGCTGACATTCGCACCAACAGTGTAGGAGGGTTCCCTTTTCTCAATACCCTCTCCAGTATTTATCATTTGCGGACTTTTTAATGATGGCCATTCTGACTGGTGTGAGGTGATACCTCATTGTAGTTTTGATTTCCATTTCTCTGATAATTAGTGATATTGAGCATTTTTTAGTGTGCCTATTGGCCATTTGTATGTCTTCATTGGAGGACTGCTTTTTTAGGTCTTCTGCCCATTTTTGGATTGAGTTGTTTGGTTTATTATTAAGTTGGGTGAGCTGCTTATATATTCTGGAAATTAAGCCCTTGTCAGTCTCATCTTTTGCAAATATTTTCTCCCATCCCATAGGTTGTCTTTCTGGGTTTTTTTCTTTTTTTTCTTTTTTGGTTATCTTTGTTTTGCTTCTGGTTTCCTTTGCTATGTAAAAGTTTTTAAGTTTAATTGGGTCCCACTTGTTTATTTTTGTGTAAAGCTGTCTTTAATGTACCATTAAGAAAGAACAACATGCCAACTACACTGTGCTTTTCTTAACTTAGAGCTTTTACTTTATGCCTACTGTAGAACTCTTTGATTTAA